TTTTTTTTTTTTGAGACGGAGTTTCACTTTTGTTGCCCAGGTGGAGTGCAATGGCAGATCTCGGCTCACCACAACCTGTCTCCCAGGTTTAAGCAAGTCTCTTGCCTCAGGCTCCTGAGTAGCTGGAATTACAGGCATGCACCACTACCCCCAGCTAATTTTTGTATTTTTAGTAGACATGGGGTTTAAGCATGTTGGACAGACTGGTCTCGAACTCCTGCCCTCGCGATCTACCCGCCTTGGCCTCCCAGAGTGCTGGGATTACAGGCAGGAGCCACCTCGCCCCGCCCTCCACCTCACCTTCAATTTCCAAAATCGTGTAAGAAGAGCGGAGCGTCCTGCGCTGCCCCCGGAGGCCAGCAGGGGGCACCCGAGCGTTCCTTTGCGGCTTCGTGGCGCGCATGCGCATCCGGGTGCGGGAGTTTGGCTTCCCCAGGAACCGCCAGGAGCGCGGCGTGGGGTGACCGGGGGCTGCGCCGTCGCTGAGGAAAACGCTTCCCAGAGGAACTCCGCCGGGAGGGGGGTCTCTAGAGTTATTTTCCTTTTTAAAAATTTTTTTGGCCTGTGGCGGTGGCTCCCGCCTGTAATCCCCGCACTTTGGGAGGCCGAGGCTGGCGGATCACGACAAGAGATCGAGACCATCCTGGCCAACATGGTGAAACCCCGTCTCTACTAAAAATACAAAAATTAGCCGGGCGTGGTGGCGGGCGCCTGTAGTCCCAGCTACTCGGGAGGCTGAGGCGGGAGGATCGCTTGAACCCAGGAATCAGAGGTTGCAGTGCCGAGATCGCGCCACTGCACTACAGCCTGGGCGACAGAGCAAGATTCCGTCTCAAAAAAATTTTTTTTAAATTAAATTTATTATTATTATTGTTTTGAGACAGAGCCTTGCTCTGTTGCCAGGCGCCAGGTTGGAGTGCAGTGGCGCAGTCTCGGCTCACCGCAACCTCCGCCTCCCGGGCTCAAGCAATTCTCCTGCCTCAGCCTCCGGAGTGCCTGGGACTACAGGCGTGCGCCACCATCCCTGGCTAATTTTTGTATTTGTAGTAGTGACAGGGTTTCATCATGTTGGTCAGCCTGGTCTCGATCTCTTGATCTCGTGATCCGTCTGCCTCGGCCTCCCAAAGTGTTGAGATTACAGGCGTGAGCCACTGCACCCGGCACAGAATGTCTTATCCATGGTTGCAGTGTTAGAGAAACCTGTTCACCAGGCCTCTGGTTTAATAAAACATGACCAGAGTGAGTCTGTCTTAAGGTGAGTAGCTAGCAGAACCAGCAGGATGATGGAGAGATCTGCAGGACCCGTGAATTCCATGAGCATGGGCCCGTGGAGCACCTCATTTACTGTGGCGTGGGTTCCTTGATCATAAGCAATGCCGTTGCTTCAGGAAAAAGAAGTCCCAGTCCAGACTCCAAGAAAGGGTTCTTACAAGGCGTCTGTAAAGTGAATTGCCACGGTCGGAAAGTAGCCACATTGTAAACTGACCACCAATTATAATTGCAGAAAATGTATGGTCATACAGGACATCTCCCACCAAGCCTGCAGAATGTCCGGATGTCCTAAGAGTGCAGCCCACTTTACTGAGAGGGAACCTTAATGAGCAGGCTGAGGTTGAAGGACTAATGGTCATTGACAGCACCAATAGCCCTACCTTTAGTCAGCCCATCTGCACATCCCAGGTTTAATGGTAGCTCCTTATCATTTCTTGTACAGTGTTCCTCCTCCTGCTTTCTGAGGATGCCACTCTGGAACAGAGTAAATTACGATAAACTTGCTTCTTTCACTGTGCTCAGTGACTCCCCTCAAATTTTTCCTGTGTAAGATCTATGAACCCTTTCTTGGAGTCTGGACGGGGGCTCCTTTTTCCTGTAGCAACGGCATTGCTATTGATCAAGGAACTCACTTCACAGAAAACGAAATACACCAAGTGCCCATGTTCCTGGCATTCAGGGGTCGTGCCATGTTCTCCATCATCCTACTGGTTCTGTTTTTCTGCTGGAACTCAGACTGAGACAAATCCATAGTGAAAGGTAAGTCTTCCTACCCGCTTGACTTCAAGTGCATGTTCCAAAGGAAGCCACTGCATTTCCTTGTGTATCCTTCTAGAGAGATTTTCATAAACATATTTGTATGTACACGTTATCAATTAAAAGAGTCAAATGCAGCTGGGCGTGGTGGCTTATGCCTGAAATCCCAGCACTTTGGGAGGCTGAGACAGGCGAATTACCTGGGGTTGGGAGTTCAAGACCAGCCTCACCAACATGGAGAAACCCTGTCTCTACTAAAAATACAAAGCCAATCCCAGCTACTCTGGAGGCTGAGGCAGGAGAACCACTTGAACCCAGGAGGCAGGGGATGCAGTGACCTGAGATGGTGCCATTGCACTCCAGCCTGGTGACAGAGCAAGACTTCATCTAAAAAAAAAAAAAAGTCAAACTCTATAATATTTGAGGAGGTTTATTCTGAGCCAGAAGTGAGTGATTATGGCCCAAGGCACAGTCCCAAGAGATCCTAAGCCCCTGTGCCTGAGACGGTGAGGCTACAGTTTGGTTTTATACATAGGTCGTTGATGGATTCAAAGATTTTCTTTTCTTTTTAATCTTTTTTTTCTTTTTCTTGTTTTTCTTCCTCCAGAACGTTTGTGAACTTGATGGATTCAAAGATTTTCTGATTGGAACTTGGTTGAAAGAGGTAAGTTATCTAAAGACCTGGAGTTAATAAAATGTCTGGGTTAAGATAAGGAAGACCAAGGTTCTGTTTAATTTAATTTTAATTTGACAGGGTCTCTGTTGCCCAGGCTGGATTGTAGTGGCACAATCTGTGGTTTACTGCAGCCTGGACTTCTTGAGGGCCTCCCAAAGTGCTGGGATTACAGGCATGAGCCAGCACCCAGGCCAAGGTTCTTAGATGCGGTTCCAGGTAGCAGGCTTCAGAGGGAATATATTATAAACGTTTCCTACTAGAGTTAGAAAGGTGCCAGACTCTTAGTTTCTCCTGGATCAGGAAGACATGGAAAAGGAAGGAGATTCTCTACAAAATAGATTTCGCCCAGGAGACAGTTTTGTAGGTCTACATGTCAGGGTGAAATACTTAGTTTTCTTCCAGGACCTGCTATCATGTGATGTCTCAATGCCCAGTTGGTTTGGTCAGTCTTAAGGTATCTGTTTTAATATTGATGCTGGTCAGTTATACCTGAATTCCAAAGGGAGGAGAGTATAATGGGACACGTCCAAACCCTGGTTTCCGCCAGGGACTGAACTGGTTCTTCAGGTTAACTTTGGCATTGAGAGAATCAGTTCCTTCAGTTGGTTGGGGGGGCTTAGAATTTTATTTTTGGTTTACAAGGTCTAGATAACTATGCCTATACTGATATATAAAAAATGTGTATATATGTGTGTATATATGGTTTGTTTTACACAAATGATACCTATTTTTTTTTTTTTTTTTTGGGACGGAGTTTCGCTCTTGTTACCCAGGCTGGAGTGCAATGGCGCGATCTCGGCTCACCGCAACCTCCGCCTCCTGGGTTCAGGCAATTCTCCTGCCTCAGCCTCCTGAGTAGCTGGGATTACAGGCACGCGCCACCATGCCCAGCTGATTTTTTGTATTTTTAGTAGAGACGGGGTTTCACCATGTTGACCAGGATGGTCTCGATCTCTTGACCTCGTGATCCACCCTCCTCGGCCTCCCAAAGTGCTGGGATTACAGGCTTGAGCCACCGCGCCCGGCCCGCCTATTTTTTTTTTTTTTGGTAGCGATGAGGTCTCAGAACTCCTCATCGAACTCCTGGGCTCAAGAGATCCTCCCGCCTACGCCTCCCAGGGCACTGAAGTTACGGGCGTAAACCACCGCGCCCAGCCCCGCTTCGCCCTCTTAAAGCCGCACTTGGGGTCTCCTCCCCCTGCGCGGAACGCGCCTTGCCGTCTTTCCTCCGCTTTCGCCACCTTTCACCTTCAGGGAGTCCCCTCTGGCGCCCTTCTCTGGAGCACACACGCCAACGCCGCGGGGGTCCAAGAAGTGGGCACTGAGGCAAAGGGTACGCGCGTTCAGAATGGGAAGACGCCGCAAAACGCCCGCCCAGACGCGGCCCCGGTCCGCCCGGCCCGCAACGCAGCCGCTCCCACTCGCGGAGCACGCCCGGGCCATCAGACTTCGGGTCCGTGTGATCCGAAGGGAAATGGCCCCCGAAAGGGTCTCCACGTGACAACGAAGGTGAACCCTCTCCTGCTTCTAGAAGTCATCTGCAGGTCGGCCGGGCTTTCAGAAGCCCCCGGGCTTCCAGTACGGAAGTCCGCCGTCCCTTCTGCCCCAGTGTAGCATGGCGCCGACCGCAGCCGCTTCCGTGATCCGCGGGCGACCGAGTCTCCCGGCCAGGATCAAAGATGGCCGCCCCCGCGCGCCTACCCTCGCCGGCCACTCCCGGCGCCGCTCTAGCCGCCGCTCTCGGTGGGCGCCACCGCCAGCCAATCGCGGGGCGCAGACGCCGCCGGCCCCGCCCCGCGGATCAGCTGAGGGAGCTGCTATGTCTGTTGACAGCGGCGGCGGCGCAGCCGGTTCCGGGTTTGGCGCGGGGCGGGGGTGAGCGCGGCTGGCGAGGGCGCTGCGTTGGGCGGCGACAGGGGACGCGGCTGCGCCCGTGGGAGGGGGCGCCCGCCGGCGTCCGGGCCGGGCCGGGGGGCCGCGGGGCCGCGTGGGCGCGGGCGGCCGGGCAGGGGCCCGCGGGGCGGGGCGGGCGCCGAGTCTCGGCCTCTGGGGTCGGGAGTCTCCACGCGCGTTTCCGGGGTCTTCGCAGATGTGAATCCCGATGGAGCGGCCCGAGGAAGGCGAGCAGCCGCTGCCGCCGCAGCCCTGGGGGCGGCTCCTGCGCCTGGGCGCCGAGGAGGGCGAGCCGCACGTCCTGCTGAGGAAGCCGGAGTGGACCATCGGGCGGAGGCGAGGTGCGGAGCCCGGGCGGGGCGGGGCGGGGCGGGGCGGTGCCGGCCGGTCTCGGGCTGAGCCACCCGTGGGCGGCGGGCCTCTGGGGCGCCGGTGCGGGGTGCTCGCCGGATGTTCCGAGCTGCTGTTTACCCGGGTGTCGGCGTGCGTGAGTCATGCGGCTCATTTGGTCCTCGCTACAACTTTGTAAACTAGTTGTGTTGGTGTGTCCTCCAGAATGCAGCACTGCCACGTTCCTTGCTGTACAAAGTATATTTTCTGACTACAGGGGAACGAAATTAGAAATCAGTAACTGAAGGAAAAGTGGAAAATTCATAGATAGGCGGGCATTAAACACCCCACCCTTAAAGCAACCGATGGGTCAGAGAAGTCCTCACAGGGGACCTTTAAAAGTATCTCGAGACAAATGAAACAAAAGTAGAATACTGTTGTACCGGACCGAGCGTAGAACGTTAGCACCAAGACAAAAGTATGCCACACTGCAGGGTCATTTATTATTCCGGTGACCACGGAGGACTCACGTCTCTCCAACCTGTGGCATTGAAAGGAGGGTGCCAAGACTTTTTATACCCGAAAAACCACCTTGGGAGTGGGGGTGAGGAGTGGGGATGGGGATGAAAAGGCTCCAGACATTCCGAGGGCTAGTGGATTCTGTAAATCATCTCCTGGGTGGAGACGAGGGCTCCGGATATTCCAAGGGCCAGGGGTCTCTTGTCATTCCGTTTGTTACTTAAGTGTTTTTACAGAAATCAAGATAAACGTTTGTTTACACATTATCTGGGTAAGGTGGAAAATCACACACCTTAGTTACTTATTACAAGTCGCAGGGGCCAAGATGGCATTAGTTTGGGCTGCTTAGTCTGGCAATTGCCGGTAAGCAAAGGCTAGCAATTCTGGCAGTTACTGATAAGAAAAGGTAAGCAGCTTGACATAGTGGCTAGAGCAAACTAGCAGTTTTATTTACAGTAGCCAAGGCTAGCAGTTATTGTGAGGAGAATGGGGCAGCCGTTACAACTTATTTTTAAAAAACAGCTTTTTCTTTTATAAAATGATGTTGTTCAGGCTCTAACTCTACGCCAGCTACAGCACAATATCACAATACACCAAAAGGTATTTAGGATGCAGCCAAGGCAGTACTCAGAGGGAAACTTACAGCTGTAGTGCCTACATTAAAAGCGATCTCAAGTTGCAGCCCCTAAATATTTATTTACTTAATGAACCTGGAAAGGTAAGAACTTGAACAAAGTCGGAGGAAGTTCCTTCACCCTCTGCATTCACTGCCTCCATGCTCCTAAGGGATCATCTGGTAGTGTGATTTCCCCTGTAGCCTTTGTACGGGGAGGGAAATGCACTGGTCATGTCAACAAAAACGTTTACTTTGAAAATTAATAAATTAGCATTCTGACATTATACCTTTTTTTTTTTTGAGATGGAGTTTCACTTTTGTTGCCCAGGCTGGAGTGCAGTGGCGTGATCTCGGCTCACGGCAACCTCCCCCTCTGGGTTCAAGTGATGCTCCTGCCTCAGCCTTCCAAGTAGCTGGGATCGTAGGCATGCCCTACCAAGTTCGGCTAATTTTGTATTTTTAGTAGAAACAGGGTTTCTCCGTGTTGGTCAGGATGGTCTCAAACTCACAACCTCAGGTGATCCACCTGCCTTGGCCTATCAAAGTGCCGATATTACAGGTGTGAGGCACCGCACCCAGCCTGACATTATGCTTTAAAAAGGAGTGAGGATGGGAAATATTTGCTGTTTAGAAGCCTTTTTTTTTTTTTTTTTTTGGTTTTTTTTACCCCTTACAATATGCTTGTACCTGTTTTGTTTTTTTTTTTTTTTTTTCCTTTACCCACAGCATGAAATGTTTTTTGTTTTTTGTTTGGTTTGTTTTTCGATACAGTCTTTCTCTGTCACCCAGGCTGGGGTGCAGTGGTGTAGTCTCAGCTCACTGCAACCTCTGCCTCCCAGTTGAAGTGATTCTCCTGCCTCAGCCTGTGGTGTAGCTGGGACTACAGGCGTGCGCCACCATGCCTGGCTAATTTTTGTTATTTTCAGTAGAGACGAAGTTTTGCCATGTTGCCCAGGTCTTGAACAACTGAGCTCAAGCGATTCATCTGTTTCGGCCTCCCAAAGTGCTGGGATTACAGGCGTGAACCACTGTGTCCAACCTGTTTTGTTTTTGTCGGAGATTTGGCAGTCTTAAATTCCAGTATCAAGTTAAAGTTTGTTTTACAACTTTGAAAGTATTTAGAGGCTGGGCATGGTGGCTCACGCCTGTAATCCAAGCACTTTGGAGGCCAAGGTGGGAGGATCACCTGAGGTCAGGAGTTCAAGACCAGCCTGACCAACACGGTGAAACCCCGTCTTTAAAAAAAAAAAAGGTATTTAGATATCATTACAATATATCAAAGTTATTCCTTTAAGACAAGAGGAAGTATTTGAGGATTTTTCCCTTTGTCCTTACCTGATAGACTAGGAGGTTTGGTGAAGAGCAGACTCTAGAGATAAATTATGTGTGTTGACAAACCTGTCAACACATAACTTTGGGCTAAAGCATATCTTTCTGTGCCTTTGTATCTATTTCATAGTTAGTCTGAGAAATTAATGAGATTATATACGAATTGTTTAGAGGGAACTTTAGAGTTAGCACTTAATGTTGGCTATTGTTATTGAAACGTACATGTTATTGCATGTTAGGACATACATGTTAAGACAAGGAGCAAAAATAAGTCATTGAGTTCATCTTTTCCCTTTTTTTTTTTGAGATGGAGTCTTGTTCTGTGACCCAGGCTGGAGTGCAGTGGTGTGAACTCGGCTCACTGCAACCTCCTCCTCCCGGGTTCAAGCAATTCCCTGCCTCAGTCTCCCATGTAGCTGGGATTACAGGCACCTGCCACCATGCCAGGCTAATTTTTTTTTTTTTCTCTTAGTAGAGACAAGGTTTCAGCATCTCGGCCAGGCTGGTCTTAAACTCCTGATATCGTGATCAACCCGCTTCAGCCTCCCAAAGTACTGGGATTGCCTGGCCTGTCTTTTCCTTAATAGGAATGATCTTAGTGAATTTATAAATAATGTTGCCAGCACAAGCTTAAAGATTATTGTACTAGTCTGTTCATACTGCCATAGCAAGGTACTGCATTCTGGGTGGCTTAAGCACCAGACATTTATTTTATTTTATTTATTTATTTTTTTGAGTCAGAGTCTTGCTCTATCACCCGGGCTGGAGTGCAGTGGCATGATCTCCGCTTACTGCAACCTCCATCTCCCAGGTTCAAGCAATTCTCCTACCTCAGCCTCCCGAGTAATTGGAACTACAGGGACACACCACCATGCCCAGCTAATTTTTTCTATTTTAGTAGAGATAGGGTTTTACCATGTTGCCCAGGCTGGTCTCAAACTCCAGAGCTCTGGCAGTCCACCTGCCTCAGCCTCCCACAGTGTTAATGATTACAGGCGTGAGCCACTGTGCCTGGTCAGAAATGTATTTTCATTGTTCCAGAGGCTGGGAAGTCCAAGATGAAGGTCCTGGCAGATTGAGTTCCTGGTGAGGGCTCTCTCCTTAGCTTGCAGATGGCACTTTCTTGCTCTGCCGCCACATGGTAGAGAGGGAGGACTCTGTCTCTATGTCCCCTCTTAAGAGGGCAGATTTGGCCGGGTGCGGTGGCTCACGCCTGTAATCCCAGCACTTTGGGAGGCCGAGGTGGGTGGATCACGAGGTCAAGAGATTCAGACCATCCTGGTCAACATGGTGAAACCCCGTCTCTACTAAAAATACAAAAAATTAGCTGGGCATGGTGGCGCGTGCCTGTAATCCCAGCTACTCAGGAGGCTGAGGCAGGAGAATTA